GAGGGTAGGTGACAGTCTGATGGATTGGGGTAGGGAGTCCCAAAGGATGAGGGAAGTCCTAGAGAAGTCCTGCAATTGGGCGTGGGAGTAAGAGACCAGGGAGCTAGAGAGTAGGAGGTCCTGTGAGGAGCGGTGGGCACGGTTAGGGTAGTATTTGGGTATCAGGTCGGTTATGTAGTTTGGGGCGGCGTTGTGGATGGCTTTGTAGGTCAGAGTTAGCAGTTTGAATTTGATACGTTGGGCAATCGGGAGCCAATGAAGGGATTGGCAGAGGGGGGGGTGGCAGATGTGGATGAGTCTAGCCGCTGGGTTCAGGATCGACTGGAGTGGGGATAGCGTTCATTTGGGTAGGCCAGTGAGAAGGGAGTTGCAGTAGTCCAGGCGTGAGATGATGAGGGAGTGTACGAGTTGTTTGGTGGTGTCTGGGGTGAGGAATGTGCGCATCTTGGAGATGTTGCGGAGGTGGAGCCTGCAAGATCTAGATAGCAGTTGGATGTGAGGTAGGAAGGAGAGGTGGGAGTCCAGGGTGACACCCAGGACTTTGGCGTGTGGGGTGGGAGAGATGGTGGCGTTGCTAGTAGTGATGGAGAGGATGGGGGGGCGCAGGGTGGGGGGAAGACCAGGTGCTCGCTTTTGGATATATGATAATGGACCAGTGGGATGCTGTATGGGGTGTGAAATAAGTATGATTTATGTGTTGTCTGTTACAACTGAGAATCTTCTATTTGTATTAGAGTTGTTTTTTTTTTTTTTTTTGGGGGGGGGGTTGGGATCCCCATTAGTCTCGGTATGCAGTCCACATGAATGTATGGAAAGAACTCTGAAGGATCCAGAACTATTGTAAGAGTCCTGAGTGTATATATTTATATCTGACAAAGTGGAAGAAGCCCTGTGTTAACTAACAGGATGCTGGGAGGATAAATCTATGTAATGTGTAAGGAATAAAGGAATACTCTGTGTCCTGTTAGTGATCACACCTAGTAGACTACACATAGGTCACCTGTACAAAATGAACAATGCTGGTAAGGTAGGCAGCTGCTTTAAATGGACAGAAAGAGGCCGGACATCAGGAGGATGTGAATAATACATACGATGGTAAAAGGACATGTACAATTTAGTGCTGATCAAATACAACCAGATGACAAACATAAGAAAATAAATCTTCATCCATGCATTGAATACGTACAGAGCGCAGACCATCGGAGAATACAACACTCTCTCTGGATTGGTCTAATCATGGGGAGGAGTAAATGGGGGAAAGGTATCATTAGTCTTCTAGTCCTCCACTATATATTGGAGGTGTCATGGTTGAGGGGTTCAGAGATATCGGAGGGGGGGGTTGTATTCAGAATGGGGTTTATGTTATTACGGGGATTTGTAGGAAAGGGGTTGGGTGTGCTGGGGATAGATGAGGTCAGAGATGATGAAGTCTTGGAGGAGGAAGGGAAGGAAGAGGAGGAGAAGTCTGTATTTATGAGAAGAGGCTGATGAAAACAAAGGTGGGTAAGACAAGGAAGTAGAGAAGGTATCCTAGATGTGGTGGTTAGGAGTAGGTGGGCAGGTTCAGGGAGGGGGGATAAGAAAATAATGGGGGTTTCTTTTAGGTGGTGTATTAGGGTTTAACAGAGTGAGTCGGGAGTACTCTCCCCCATTATCCCCCCATTCACACAGCCAGCCCCGCCCTTAGACAGCATTTTCTCCAGAGACCTCCAGTGAAAGGGCTAGGAGAGATTTTTCAGCATTTGGTGAGTGAATTAGAGTCCAGGAAGCATGGAGATGTGGTAGCCATTGAGGGATGGCTTAGCATGCCCCCCCATCTCCATCTCCTCCTTTGTTCCAAGTGGGACCCTCCTCATTCTGGGCATTGAAGCTTCCTGTATGTGGGGGTATCACAGGCACTGGACATGCACAGAATGTATGAAGCATGAGTGCTGCAAGTGACCACCTCCAACGGAAGGAGCACTTCCACCCTTATGTGGCAATATTTCTTTGATGGATAGTCCATGAGCACCCTTAGTTCACATGCGTGTGCAATTGCGGATGCTTGATTGTTGTGACATCACATGCCCAGCATTCATTGGTGGTGGGTATACTCCCAATGGGTTGTTATTTAGGGATGGGTAGGAGTGGAGGGGGGCTCTAGTGGAATCAAGAGGTAATGGCCTAGAAGACATCAAGAGTGTATTCAATTTGAATTTCAAAGGATTAATGACATTAATTACTATTGTCAGATATAATTTGTGGTGATCCTCTCTACTTTCCTTCATGTTAAAGTGTTACTAAACCCCCCACAGTACAATCAGTCTGTAGATGCAGTAAAGCATGCTTGTTATACTCACTGTGGAACCTAAGGGGTTAATCCTCTGCATTGTGTAAAAAGGCCACTTGATCCTGATTGCTCTGTTCCTCCCTTTGTTTAAGCGACCACTTCTTGTAGGCATTTTGCACATGTTCAGTTTGGTGTGTATTGCTAAAGAGGTTTTTTTTTTTCTTGGAAGAGTGCATGTGATAAGCACAGGGCCAATCAGCACTGGTGAGACAGAAGTCATGGATTCTGCATCCCTCCTGGAAGCAGAAAGAAAACTCCTCCTACAAGCTTTAACCAGTGCTTGGCTGAACACTGATAGAAGTCACAAGACTGCTATATACTGCTGATGAGAAAGGGTGTTCAGCAGTTTATATTTACTAAAAATGATTTAATTTCCATGTTCTGTGTACTGTGGTAGACCAGATATAGTGAATTCAGGGTCCGGGGAGACCATATATAGTGAATGCAGGGTCCGGGGAGAGCAAATATAGTGAATGCGGGGTTTGGGGATAGCGAATATAGTGAATGCAGGGTCTGGGGACAGCGGATATAGTGAATGCAGGGTCTGTAGGAGGGCGGATATAATGAATGTAGGGTCCGGGGAGAGCGGATATAGTGAATGCGGGGTTTGGGGATAGCGGATATAGTGAATGCAGGGTCTGTGGAGGGCGGATATAATGAATGTAGGGTCCGGGGAGAGCGGATATAGTGATGCGGGGTCCGGGGGAGAGCAGATATAGTGAATGAGGGGTCCGGGGAGAGCGGATATAGTGAATGCAGGGTCCAAGGAGACCAGATATAGTGAATGCGGGGTCCGGGGGAGAGCGGATATAGTGAATGCGGGGTCCGGGGAGAGCGGATATAGTGAATGCGGGGTCCGGGGAGAGCGGATATAGTGAATGCGGGGTCCGGGGAGAGCGGATATACTGAATGCGGGGTCCGGGGAGACCATATATAGTGAATGCGGGATCCGGGGAGACCAGATATAGTGAATGCGGGGTCCGAGGAGACCATATATAGTGAATGCGGGGTCCGGGGAGACCATATATAGTGAATGCGGGGTCCGAGGGGAGAGCGGATATAGTGAATGCGGGGGTCCGAGGAGACCATATATAGTGAATGCGGGGGTCCGAGGAGACCATATATAGTGAATGCGGGGTCCGGGGAGACCAGATATAGTAAATGCAGGGTCCGGGGAGAGCGGATATAGTGAATGCAGGGTCCAGGGGAGAGCGGATATAGTGAATGCAGGGTCCGGGGAGAGCGGATATAGTGAATGCAGGGTCCGGGGAGAGCGGATATAGTGAATGCAGGGTCCGGGGAGAGCGGATATAGTGAATGCAGGGTCCGGGGAGAGCGGATATAGTGAATGCAGGGTCCGGGGAGAGCGGATATAGTGAATGCAGGGTCCGGGGAGAGCGGATATAGTGAATGCAGGGTCCGGGGAGAGCGGATATAGTGAATGCAGGGTCTGGGGAGACCACATATAGTGAATGCAGGGTCAAGGGTTTAGTAACACTTTAACCTTTGGGCATTGCCACTATACATGTAACTTTATCTCCTTTTGGCCACACTCTCAGGAGCAGTGGATGGAGCAGTTGGGTAATATTTTCCCCAGTTTAGTTGGTAACTTCTAGAGAAAACTTTATCGTTTGCTTCCCCTAGGAACAAATTTTAAAAAATTATATTTATCCACTTGGACCGGTCCTCTTGTTCCACAACAGTATCAAAGTTTTGCTCCAATGCTAAAAGTTGTGATAGCCTGTATTCAGAGCTACCATAGCACCTATATCTGTGACCTTTGTGAATAAACCATTTAGGTAGTGGTGTATTTTGGTTTTGTGCTGCCCTAGGCAAGACTAAAATCGGGCACCCCCCGCATCTAAAAATTTGTCCCACCTTTTCATCTGCAAACTCCACCCCGTCCTCTTTAGGCTCCACCTCTTCCCATTAGAGCTCCGCCCACTGACACTGATGGGCCGCTATTCCTCCCACTGACACCAATGAATGGGCACTATTCCTCCCACTGACACAATGATGGGGCACTATTCCTCCCACTGATACCAATGATGGGGCACTATTCCTCCCACTGACACTAATGATAGTGCCCCATCATTAGTGTCAGTGTGTGAGGAATAGTACTCCATCATTGGTGTCAGTGGGAGGAATAGTGCCCCATCATTGGTGTCAGTGGGAGGAATAGTGCCCATCATTGGTGTCAGTGGGAGGAATAGTGCCCATCATTGGTGTCAGTGTGTGAGGAATAGTACTCCATCATTGGTGTCAGTGAGAGGAATAGTGCCCCATCATTGGTGTCAGTGTGTGAGGAATAGTACTCCATCATTGGTGTCAGTGAGAGGAATAGTGCCCCATCATTGGTGTCAGTGTGTGAGGAATAGTACTCCATCATTGGTGTCAGTGAGAGGAATAGTGCCCCATCATTAGTGTCAGTGGGAGGAATAGTGTCCCATCATTGGTGTCAGTGGGGGGAGGAATAGTGCCCCATCATTGATGTCAGTGGGAGGAATAGTGCCCCATCATTGGTGTCAGTGGGAGGAACAGTGCCCCATCATTGGTGTCAGTGGGGGGAGAATAGTGCCCCATCATTGGTGTCAGTGGGAGGAATAGTGCCCCATCATTGGTGTCGGTGGAAGAAATAGTGTCCCATCATTGGTGTCGGTGGAAGAAATAGTGTCCCATCATTGGTGTCAGTGGGAGGAATAGTGCCCCATTATTGGTGTCAGTGGAGGAATAGTGCCCTATCATTGGTATCAGTGGGGAGGAACAGTGCCCCATCATTGGTGTCAGTGGGGGGAGGAATAGTGTCCCATCATTGTGTCAGTGGGGGGAGGAATAGTGTCCCATCATTGGTGTCAGTGGGAGGAATAGTGCCCCATCATTGGTGTCGGTGGAAGAAATAGTGTCCCATCATTGGTGTCAGTGGAGGGGATGAATAGTGGCCCCATCATTGGTGTCAGTGGGAGAATAGTGCCCCATAATTGGTGTCAGTGGGAGGAATAGTGCCCCATCATTTGTGTCAGTGGGAGGAAACAGTGCCCCATCATTGGTGTCAGTGGGGGGAGGAATAGTGCCCCATCATTGGTGTCAGTGGGGGGAGGAATAGTGCCCCATCATTGGTATCAGTGGGAGGAATAGTGCCCCATCATTTGTGTCAGTGGGAGGAACAGTGCCCCATCATTGGTGTCAGTGGGGGGAGGAAATAGTGCCCCATCATTGGTGTCAGTGGGGGGAGGAACAGATGCCCCATCATTGGTGTCAGTGGGGGGAGGAATAGTGCCCCATCATTGGTGTCAGTGGGAGGAATAGTGCCCCATCATTGGTATCAGTGGGAGGAACAGTGCCCCATCATTGGTGTCAGTGGGGGGGGAGGAATAGTGCCCCATTATTGGTGTCAGTGGGAGGAATAGTGCCCCATCATTGGTGTAGGTGGGAGAAATAGTGTCCCATCATTGGTGTCAGTGGGAGGAATAGTGCCCCATCATTGGTATCAGTGGGAGGAACAGTGCCCCATCATTGGTGTCAGTGGGGGGAGGAATAGTGCCCCATCATTGGTGTCAGTGGGAGGAATAGTGCCCCATCATTGGTGTAGGTGGGAGAAATAGTGTCCCATCATTGGTGTCAGTGGGGGTGCAATAGTGCCACAGTGATTGTCCACAAGGATTGTCCACAGTGATTATATCTGCTTATACAGGATAGGCAGAGAGGTCTCACAAGGGTATAAATCGCTATCACAACAATCTGAGTCAGAATAGTCAGAAGATGCATAGAATCCCTCCAGCCTGCTGTGTATATGTGTGTGCCTAATCTGCAATCAAGCTCAGTGCCATCCGCCATCTTGCAAAGCACATGGCCGCACAAGCTTACTGCACTTCATGTGAATGTTGAAAACTGTTTTCTCTGCATTGAACTGTTACCCCACCTGTCTAAGCTGCTGTTCGTCTTCTTAAGAGACAGTACCAATTTTTGCAGAACAGTAAAAAATGTCTAGACAAGGCTCTGAACACTCCTTTATGGCCGAACCAACGCAGATACATCATTCCTCTGAACCAGCAGACGTACAGGGAGCAGATTCTGCAGACATTCCCGAACAGAGCGTAAAACCCAAACGTACAATTAAACCGACACAGAAACTCAGGGAAAACTATGAAGCCACTAGAGATGAGTTCTCCAGTAATCTGTCAGACCTCTGGGACCCGAACTTCACAATGCATGTCAGTTTTGTCACACTTTAATGATCAACCAGCTGAATTAAGAGAGTCTAATAAATCGCCTATCTGCTGCGTATGAACGCTACCAGCCGGCTGTTTGTAAAATACTCAGCTTTCTTGCAGGACTCTAATATAGAGGATTCTTCAGCAGAACTGACCAGGACTAATGCACTAGAAACCAACAAAGGGATCTTGCAGTGCAAATTGCTAAGTTTATAGCAGCAACTCTCCGCATTTACTCAACTGCAGGAGACCAGATCTCACAGA